TTTTTTTTTTTTTTTTTTTTTTTTTTAAATGGCTGATGTTGAAATCATATTTACGAGCTTGTTTTGATCCACCTCCTAGGTCCGTGAGCATGCTATTCTGTTAAATCTAGGCTCGTTACGCGCAATTGCAATGCAAGAGCGTGTCCTGATTTTTGACTACAACAGGTGAGATTTGTCTTTGGGAGCAGAGCAAATTTTTGCATCCATTGACTTCCAGTTTTTGCTTATGCAAATCAAAGCATAATAATATTGGAAAATTGGTTGAATGTGCAGTATAGGAGGGAAAGCATTTATAGAAGCATTGCTGCCTCGATTGAACCCCAAAAATATGAATGGAGGACCATCTATGCCATTTGAGCTTGAGGTTAGCATTCTGATCACCCTTAATATCTTCATACTGACGAGCAAGGCAATTAGATGCATACATGTCTGCAAGATCTGTCTCTCACTTCATCTTTTCTAACTGTATTGAGATTGCAAGAAAACCACTTAAGATCAGTATGGAAGATGATAGTGAGGACCAGTTGGGGATCAGGATTGTCACATACCCTAGGCTTTAGAAGCTTTCCAGAGTAATGTGTCTTTTAGGAACATTGAGTTATCCGGTAAGTCATGGTAAATATTTTGAATAGAACCTGACAGCTTGTGGCATGCAGTGTGAAATTACCTATAGGAAATGAGAGATCAATTTTGCTTCAGAGAAATTACCTAGCTGGAAATAAGAGACATCAATTTTGCTTCAACCCTACAGCTAAATGACACTTCCAAACCTGTACTAAGTTCTAGGAAATGCCAACACAATTTCATAATAACACAGTGAATTGCATAATATGCCCATTCCATTACAAGTTACAACAATTGAAATGAAGGTAAAGAAGAAAAAAAAAACATTTTCCTTTTTGCTTTAGGTGTGAGTGCGTATAGCAATATCAAATTCCGAAGGTCCACAGTTGAGTTTCAAAACCTGAAATTTAAAATAGATTTTATAATGTTACCATGTATCTCTTCTCTCAAGAAATTAGAGCGACCTATGGTTTATGGTCCTCTGCTGAAAGGGTTCACAAGAGGTAAAAGTGACCTTATCTATCATGCGTATGGCTCTTCTACCAAGATGTTTGGATTAATCAAAAGAGCAGTCACTGATATTAAAAAGGACATTTGCGTTACAAATCATATTTATACTTTCTATACCTAGGGCAATGGGTATAAGTCCTTGGGAGCTTTCTTTGCATTTCTATTCATGGTCTTGCATATCTGAGTGCATGCAGTATCAGAATGCGTGAAAGAATAAAAGATCTTTGTGGTAGTATCAGAATGCGTGAAAGAATAAGAGATCTTTGTGGTACTTTCAGGTTGTTGAAGCAGCATTACTCTCAAGAATACATCGTTTAGAACAAAGATTAATGGATGTAGAACCTCGTGTGAGTATGGAAACATAGTGAGTATTTTTTATTTTTTATTTTTTATTTTTTCTATGTTCTTCAAGTCCCTTTGGCAAATATCTGTCTTAAACCTTGCTTCTTCTCTCTGCACCTTGCCAACAAAATACTTTTGGGTTGACCAATCTAAACATCACATGTTCTGTTACTTTTGCTAATTATTGTACTGGTTATATATTTTTTTTTAAACTTCATGTAATTGTTTATGTTATAACAGTTGTCTCTAGAGTGGAAATGGAAAAGAAAAAAAGATTTGTTGAAGAAATAATATAATAGGGATAAAAACCACTGGTTCCAGTGGATATATGTTTAGTTTTCTTCAATTTGCTTCAGGTTGAAAAGTTACTTGAGGTTTTGCCGAACCGGTTAACTGCTGACATACTGGAGCAGCTTCGGATTAGCAAGCAAACCTTGGTAAAGTTGTTGATTTTAATTTAAATGCTAAACCCGGTTTTACTGGCATTGACAAACGTCAGTATTAATATTATTCCTTTTCCTTTGTTAATGAAAGGTTGAATTGGGCTCACGGGCAGGGGCTCTCAGACAAATGCTGTTTGATCTATTGGAGGATCCCCATGAAATACGCCGTATATGTATTATGGGGAGAAACTGTACACTCAAGAAGGGAAACGATGATGTTGAATGCGCAGTTCCTTTAGAGAAGCAGATCGCTGAGGGTAAATTTTAGTTACAATTACTGTAATTACTTTGGGAATGTATAAATTACATAAACCGTCAAAAAGTATTAAATTTTTATTTGGTTTGATGTTATATACAGACGAGGAGGAAGAAATTGAGATGCTCTTGGAAAATTATCTTCAAAGGTTACGCTCCTTCTCACCCTCCCCCAACAAAGAAAAAAAAGGAAAAAGGAGATTTCATTAGTGCTAAGATGAGCTTGATTTGAAACTTGTGTTATGACGTTCAGTGTGGAAGTTGACCTTAGTGCTTGTTTCATTTGCAGATGTGAATCTTGTCATGGACAGGCCGAAAGGCTTCTTGATTCTGCTAAAGAAATGGAAGATTCTATAGCTGTCAATCTGAGGTCTGAAATTTTTTGTTGTTTTTGGTTTGTTTATAGAGTTTCTTCCTGGAAGTGAAACCTTTATTGATTGTTTTGTTTTGTTAGACAACCATTGTACTCCAAATGTTTATGCTTTTAGAAAATTAGGCCAACAATGTATTTCAAAATAGCATCCTACTTCACGTGCAGCCCCATCTTGCAAGTGGAGAGGTAAACATACATGCAAATGGAGTAACACATAGGTGCAGCTCCATTCCTCACCTTACAACCCCACCCGGAGCTGCATTAGTATTAGTTAATGTGTCATATAGTCGTGAAACAGAAAATTAAAGATCTCCTTTCTGTGAATTATGTTCAATGATCCATAACAGGTGATTTTCATTTGTCTAATACCAATTTTAACTGATTTCATCTATCAGTTCTCGGAGGCTTGAGGTTAGCAGAGTGGAATTACTACTTCAGGTTGGGACGTTTTGTGTGGCGCTTGGCGCTTTGGTTGCAGGTCTTATCTACAAATAAGTTTGGTTATTTATTTTGTAAATTCTGTTCCAATGTGTATGGGAATCTATTAGTGTTCATAATCTTACCTTGTTGCACATCATCTCACTACCTAGAAACGTGCAATGTGTTTGATGTCCATGATAAGCCTTATGATTTCCTTCTAATTGCAGGTATATTTGGCATGAATTTGAGGTCCTACCTTGAAGAACATGTGGTACGTTAGTTTTTGAAGTTAACTTAATGTGACTCTTGTCCCATTTTCGCTGGGGTGATTGCAACTTGACCATTACTTATTGCTTAACTTGGTGCAGTTTGCATTTTGGCTTACAACAGCAGGGATAATTGTTGGAGCTGTTGTGGGATTTGTCCTCATGTATTCCTATCTCAGGACAAGGAAAATATTGTAACTAGTAGAAAGTGATTCAAGTATAGGTAGAAGTTAGTCCTTAATCTTCTTTTTGGTTTTCCCTTATGAAACTTGGTATGCAATGTTACCAATATGGCGTCCGGTGTGTAGGGTCAACGACTTCCAAGTTTTCAGTTCAGGGATTTGATTTTGATTTCCTTTGTTACAAAATTAAGTCCATGATATTCAAGTGCTTTTCTTTTATGAGATCTGGAAACTTAATAGCATCTCATCAAATTTACAGGACATTTCAGAGGCCAAGAACACTCAGCTGCCAATGCTTTGATATGATTAACCAGTCCTTTATGCAGCAGTACTATTTCCACATTATTTATGGGCTCTATGAACTTGTACTCAGTTTCTCCTACAAGATTGCAGCAGCTGTCGACACGTGTGAATCGACGTGATCCGAATGCCAAATGCTGGATGGATCCAGAGCTGGTCTTACTGTGTATGCAACAAATGTTTGTGGGGCTTGTATATTTTTGCCAATCTGAATGCAAGGTTGTATCATTTAACTGACTAAATTTCAAGAGTAGAACTAGTTTCATCCTTATAATAAAATTTTGCTCTTTGGTAGGGGGTGGTACTAATTTTATTTGCTTCTCCCTCTAATAGACTTATCCATCAACTAATCCTTTAAACGGATTGTAATCCCAGGTGCTCAGCCCATGCACTTGTCACGGGCGTGGCAAACAAATCTGGGTATGAACTCTATAATTTTAATTTGTACTTTTTGAAGTTGGACAAAAATACAAACAAAATTAAAATTAAGGGTATAGAGAAGTTGTTATGAGGGTACCAAACAGGGCCTAAACGGATTGTAATCCCAGGTGCTCAGCCCATGCACTTGTCACGGGCGTGGCAAACAAATCTGGGTATGAACTCTGTAATTTTAATTTGTACTTTTTGAAGTTGGACAAAAATACAAACAAAATTAAAATTAAGGGTATAGAGAAGTTGTTATGAGGGGAAAAGACATGTTATAAAAAAGGGAAATTAAATTAGATCTAAGAAAAAGAACAAAAGAGCTTTGAGCATGATTTAGTTTTCCCTTTTGGGTTGTTTTTCCTTTTCAGGTTGTTTCCCCCTTTTTGGGTTGTTGCTTTTACAGTCATGTTGAGATTCATGTTACACGTCTTTGATGTGTTGCTCAAGTTTAATAATGAATAAATATGAGAGAATTTGTAAGAGCAAAGGTGTGCTTCAGAGATGTATTTAGAAATTTGAGCATGCTTGATAAAGATTTTTCTCAAAGGCTAGAGCAGACAACCAGTAAGTAAGCACTAAACAAACTCACATCCCCGCATCACAAAATAAATATCAAAATGAAATGTGGAAAGTGCATAAAGCTCCCTCCACACCAAAAAAAAGAACAAGAACAAAAGCTAAACTCTATGCTAAAGAACACAAAAAAAAAAACCAAACAAAAATATTGCACGAAACATGGAATAGAAACACCTGAACCAACCGGTCATGCCTGTTGTGAATCCTGTGATGAATTTAGTGCATGTTTGGATTCTATAACAGGTTTTGAAGATTCATTAATGGCCATATTACCCATTCCGACCTCAATTGCTTCCCTCTCTTCCTTCTCCCTTTCCTCAGAAATACTCCCATTGGAGGCGTGAGGTTCCATACCAGCCACGGAAGGCTCAAGGAGTCGAGGGCCTGCACTGATCCATGGATGAGTAAGACATTGCGCAAATATCAAAATGAAATGTGGAAAGCGCATAAAGCTCCCTCCACACCAAAAAAAAGAACAAGAACAAAAGCTAAACTCTATGCTAAAGAACACAAAAAAAAATATTGCATGAAACATGGAATAGAAACACCTGAACCAACCGGTCATGCCTGTTGTGAATCCTGTGATGAATTTAGTGCATGTTTGGATTCTATAACAGGTTTTGAAGATTCATTAATGGCCATATTACCCATTCCGACCTCAATTGCTTCCCTCTCTTCCTTCTCCCTTTCCTCAGAAATACTCCCATTGGAGGCGTGAGGTTCCATACCAGCCACGGAAGGCTCAAGGAGTCGAGGGCCTGCACTGATCCATGGATGAGTAAGGCATTGCGCAGCTGTTGGCCTCTTTTCAGGGACAAAATCAAGTATGGGAACAAGGAACTCAGTCATGTCATTTGCATCTTGCTCACTGAATGAGTACTTCTCCATTAGCACCTTATTTAGAGGCCAGAAACGCAATCGACGGATATGCTTCAAATCCCCATGTCGGTTAAAGAAGTCCCGCGAATAGCAACCACCTAATGCAGTCTGCAAAGAATATGTTTATGAATACTATTATTTGACCAGATTTATTGTCAAACAGTGAAAATTCTCACATTCTTGATTCCTTAAAATGTCAGTGCAAAATTGAATAGTAAGTATCAAGTTCTTACCTTGCGGGGAATTGTTCCAAGAAGTTCCATCATCAGTGCCAGGTGATCCTGCAAAATACAATTTAAAAGCCAATATGGAAATTTAATTACAATATTTATAAGAATAAAATATATTAGATAGCTATGTTTTTTAAAACAATAAATCATCATAAACTCCTTCAAAATTCCTAAAGCGCAGTCTACTCCCTTAACTCAAGGATCAATCAGGACAAGGCCCTATCCAATTCATATTGATATAACTCATATCCGAGCAAATTCAGTCTGTTTGATGAATTTTATTAGTTAGATCGTGCTAATGATGTCACCAAAAGAAATATACAATTTGCAACTACAATGGCCCTTTCACAAGTATTAAGAGCATCAGATCACATTTTCCCTTTTCTTTTTTTATTTTGGGGGAGGGGTCGGTTACAAATCCAACAATGATAACAGAATCATATAACATAGAAAAATATTGAGGCAATGCGGTTACAAATACAAGATCTGGATAATGAGGCAGTGCAGTGCTGCAGAAGGGGCATAGCTTTTAAGAATCTTAAAAAAAATACTGTAAAAATTCCCAAGGGAGAAATCAAGAATATGCACATACCTCATCCCTATCATAATTGTCACCACTGTGTGGATCAAAAAGAACGTCCCCAGTGGCTAGCTCAAAGCAAACACAAGCAAAGGACCACAAATCTGCTGGAGTGGAGTATTTAGCTCCAAGTATAACTTCTGGGCATCTGTACTGCCTTGTCTGAATATCACTTGTAAACTGCTTATATGTCCAACACGCATTTCCAAAATCAACCAATTTGCATTTAAGGTCAACAGCTGTGAACAGCTTCTGCCTTGCAGCACGGCTGGCTTTTTCTTGTTCCATATTTCCTTGCTGAGTTTCTTCTGTTTCTTCACCCTTTATTGATTCGTTTCCAACTACAGAATCCTTCACTTGTTCTTCAAGAGAATCGCCATTCAATTTCACTTCATTAATGGAATCTTCTGAGGCAACTATCGTGGAATCTGCCTCATTGTCCTCCAAAGTTTCCATCCCTGCACAACCATGAGCTGTCTTCTTAGCCTTTTTCCGGATCTTCTTTTTCTGGTTCTTTGTGAGATCTCCGTTTAACTTCTTAGGGTCTTTCGCAGCGGCAGAAACAGACGCAGTTTTATCCTTACCGGTTGGAAGGATGAGAGGAGCACCTGATTTCCTGGGATCTTTAGATGGATCGATCATCGACAAAAGCAAGACATTCTCTGGCTTCAAATCAGTGTGTATCATCGAAAGTTGACGATGCAAGTAATCCAAACCCACTAACATATGGAAACAAATTTCTTTAACCATGTGCACGGGAGCTCCTCGGTAATCATTATACTTAATAAGGGTCAAAAGGTTATCCCCAAGGTACTCAAAAACCATACAGACATGCTGCCCATTTGGGCCTGAATGCTTGAAGTGATCCAAAAGCTTCACAACACACTTCTTGTCACTAGGGTCTCCCTCGGCAATTTGTTTGAGAATCTTTATTTCGTCCATTGCAGCTTCAGTGTAATAACGAGCACTCTTTTGAATCTTCAAAGCTACATAACGCTACAAACAATGAATTTCTCATGTTGTCAAAGATTTGAACAATGAAACTGTAGGTAAGTTCTCATTTAGTTTTCATACATGACAAGACAGAGAATCTCAATTTAAATGCTAGGTAAAACAATTCGGGTAAAGAAACTAGTTCAAATTACTAAGAGCTACTACTGCAATGAATAAAAAAAAAATTCATTGCTTTATTCCGAAAACGAGACAAATAATACAAAGTTGAGGACTTGCGTCATACCCAACATTTGTTTTTTCTTTTACTCTTCTCTAGAATTTTCATAGTGCACAGACATTTTCTTACTATTCTTTTCTTTTCGTTTCGTAATCAAACAAACTGTTTTGTATTGATTTATTGCATTTATTCACAAACAAAAATGAAATATACTTTCAACGACCTTTCCTTTCAGTTCCTGTACTCTTTTATTTTCCCTCAGTTTCTCACTAACCAAACAACTAGCTTCACATCAAAACACAGATAACATACCGAGTTCCGAGTGTCCCAAGCAAGCCAGACAGTGGAGAAGTGACCCCAGCCCAGCTTACTCTGCACCACATAGCAGCCATTCTTGAACGAGTCCCCAATAGAGACCGCATGGTACCCTCCTTTCTTGTAGTCCTCAGTACCCTCGTCCTCCGATGAGTAATCGCTGAGCTCGTCCCGATCCCGGGCATCCGCCATTGAAATTCAGAATTGGGTTCGATTGGGTTTTTGGGGTTAAATGTCAGTGAGAAACCCTAGTGAGGTTTGTTTGGGCAAGAAGCTGGAATTAGCGTTGAGAATGAAACTCTTGGGACAAAGACAAAAGGCCTAGGGCCTTTTCTGTTGGAGGACTTGAGTGGGGTGCAAGACCATAAGATTGTACTTTCCCTGGGCTTAGTCCCATACAACCAAAAAAAAGCAACAAAAAAATAATAAAACATTATAAAAGAACTTGATACGTTCGAACCGAACCGAACCAAACCAAACTAAACACAACTCAACTATTATTTTAAACAAAAAGTGTCCATTTACCTCTGAATTATATAGAAATATTTAAACCTCCTGCTCCATTTTCCTTTATTCCTCACCAAAAATAAAGATGTAATAATATAGCGTGAAATGATAAAGAGATTCTCAAAAGTCAATCACGTGACTTTATTTGACAGTATCTCGAGTGAAATTACCAGGAGTCTAATAGTGGAATAAATTGACCATTTTTACATAATTCAAAGAAGAAATTGGATGGAAAAAAAAGTCAAGTACATTAACATTATGGATACAAATAAAAAGAGAAAGCGGTAAATTACCCGAATTTTTTTCTTCCAAAAAAAAATCTTATCATTGTAAGGGGCTTGTAATAAGTAGTTAGTGACCGCTATTGTGTTTCAATCCTCGCTCCCTCATCACTTGTATCAACAAAAAAATAATAATAATATCCCTTGATTAAGGAATTCCCTCTTAGTTAGGAGAATCACTTTCCAATTACTCCATAGGTTCTCAATCATAGGAATTGGCAACAACTATTAAGATTGTGTTCATATATAATGTACGGGATTTCTCACAATTTAGGGTTTAGTTCCCCCCCAAAATAATAAAATTCAATCTAACC